GTTGAAGTCCACCCATCTGAAAGTTGCCAAGGTTGAAAAAACACTACTTTAGAGTTACATTAGAGTTACATACATCCGATCAAGCCTTAGGATCTGCTTGCTAGCTGGATCGACTTCCAGCCACTGAAAATTGATGCAATGCCAGTTTTTCTTCTCGAATCTGCAGGGGGCGCTCCTGAGCTTTGCAGGAAAGAAGATGCGACGTGGGCTGAGGAATTGGTAGATGGTTGAAAAGGTTAAAAAGTACAGTTGGGAGCTGGCTGGGAGAGGTGGAGGGGAAAAAAAGCCTGCGGTGAGGATGCCCGTTTTTTTAATATTTGTCTGCAGAAACATTTTTCCTTTTGTGTAGGCTTTTTTTTTTCTCTAAAATAGCTCAACAAAATATTAGAAGAGTACAAAGCTTTGCTTTGGATTTATTAGACTGGCTCCCTTGTCCAGATCCAATCAATGGGGATTGAAGAATCGAGTTGAAAGGGATGCAGAAGGGATGGTGTCTCCTCCCCCCCACAAAAAAAATCCCAAAATGTTCAGTGGTCCAAAGTGATCCATCCTGGCTCCGTTTTCCAATGGAAGCAACAGGTCTGCTTAGAGCCCCTTGGCGTATTCTAGAAATATGAACTTTCAAAACAGAAGAGATTCGAAGTCAGTAAGGAGAAGAAGGGTCAAAACCCAGCATGAATAGGGCCTGGGTGTCAAAGGGACCACTTTCCTCCAATCGTTTCTGCCTACCCATCTCCTGCTGACCCATGAGTACCTCTGGAGGGTGGTCCACTGGAAGAGGCAGATACGTTTACGGGAAAGCTGAGATTCCCATCAGCAACAAGCCTCCATCATTGGAGGCAAGCCCTTTCGCCTCTGTTTCAGCCCAGTATATTGTCAGAATATTATTTTTTTGTTAATGCTACTTTATTTATTTGTTGATTTAATCCCGTCTCAGCAAGTGACTCTGGGCGCCAGACAGTTACTTTTTCATCACTGTCGTAACTGTGAACGGTCACTAAGCAAGGCAGTCGCTAAACGAGGACTCCCTGTACATCCTTTGCACCGAGCGAGAGAGCAGCAGAATTCGAGCAAGGCAGTAGTGACTTCAGCACATCTTGTGGGTTCTCATTTTATTCTCCCTCTTTCATTTCAAGGGGGATTGGTGTTGGTTGTGTATCCATGTATGGGCCCTTGACCCCCATTCATTGCACAGAAGAGGGCAAATGAATGGGGAAGAGTGATGGAGAAGAAGGGAAGGAACCCCATGGGAAGTTTCCTTGCCTGGAGAGCTCCCGTAGCCTGACATTGCTACCGATTTCTCCCCCCGGGGAGGGAAGGGCTTACGTCCCAGAGAGCCACAGCAGCCAAAGAGTTAAAAAGGCAAATTGAAGCAAGGTATTTCAGGCACTCATTATTCACTGCCAGCTTCCCCCAAAATGGTATTAATTCCGTGCTGTCATGCAGGACTGTGTTGTGTCTGTTCCAGTGAAGCTTAGCAAGGATGGGTGGGGAAGAGGCTGGGCTTTGTTGCCATATGTATCTGAAGGAGCGGCAAAGCAGCCCCCCCGCACACACACTTTTCCCGGGCAGGTAGTAGAAGAACGATTGCTTTTCTATTCAGGCTGCACCCCCTTCTTCCCCAAAGTTATAGAAAAGTAGGTTCAGGTTGGATGTTGGAAATGGATTTCCAACCTGGGGACCCCCAGCTGGGAAAATATCACTTCCTGGAATTGCCCAGCCAGCCTGACCATTGCTGAGAAGTCGCTGAGCTGAAATGCATTTAGCTTGCCTGGTGTTAGCCCCCTGCAAGGTAGTCTAGACAAGAAGCACAGCCGGGAATACTGTCTCTATCTTTACTGTAAGGTTATATTAACAGAGTCTTGCAAGATTGAAGGTATTTCTCCCCTCCTTTCCTTTTACTCTCTGGAAAATTAGGGAAGGTCCCTTCTGAAAGGTTTCCCATGCCCGCGCTCCTTCTGTGGGCTGAGACATCTTTTACACACCGATTGTCCTGCCTGCGTCTCTTCCTCCTGTCTCCCAAGGCCATTCCCACAGACCATTACACCCAGTTTCATCTAGAGAAAGTCACCACTGAATGCTTTGCAAAATCCTGCACCAGCATGGTCTGATTTTGCCCACGGTCTCCGGAGGAGCAGGGCATCTGCTGGCCATTTTAGCCCCCAGCCCTTGAACTTTCTTCGCAGCTTCCTTTTGAACATGAGGACTAGAACCATGGCGTGAAAAGGACCTCTGGCTTAACTCCACTCCAAGATTGGCGATTTCTGCTTGTTCCGCCTCTCCTGCTTCCGCTCGCCGCTTCAGGCCTCGGTTCCCCGTCAGCAAAATGGGGATAATAGCCCCCTCTTAGCTGAGAACACCTCATCCTCCACCGGTCCCTCTTTTTTTTTTTTAAAGGGATGTAATGTTAAAGTGTTCTCTGTGCATTGTAAATTCTAAGTAAATATTGCCAGTAGCCAGAGAAGGGGGGGGGGAAGGTTTCCATTTCCACACCTCCCCCTCTGCCCCCTAGTTTTGTATCTCATTTTCGCATTATCATCAAGTCCCCCCTCCCCAGACCCCCATTTCGGAGGCTATTTTGACAGCTTCTGTCATCTGCC